AAAAAACAACGTTTTCTTCCCGACTGATATTCTTCCCGAGAACGAGAAAACGTGATCGCGCGCGTGTTGAGGCGCGCGTTACTTAATCAGAAAGAAAAATAGCGCGCGGAGGCATCGCAATCGATACGCGACGCGAGCAATTAAAAAATGAGCGAGAGTCGCGTCTCGCTCGTGTGCTTTTAATCGCGCTTAAGGTTTTCGAGATCGATAACGCGCGCGCGACGCCATGCTGTTATTACCCCGATCCCGAGGTCGATACCGATGTGACGAGTGATGTGTGTCTCTCTCTCTCTCTCTCTCTCTCTTTCTTTCACCCCCCGTGCAAAGGAGCCCCTTCCCTTCACCCTTTTCGCGTTTATCGCGATTTACAGTTTATTTTTCTGGCGCGTCGAGGTCGCAAATTGTTCGCCCGTAGGGAGCGGGCCGCTCCATACAGCGCGCCAGTGGAAACGATCGATGCAGCCACCGGCACGGCACACAGCCACCCCCAGAACTCTCCCCTCTTCCAGTGTTACTCCTTTCCCGTCGCGCATCTCTCTCTCTCTCTCTCCCTCTTCTCTCCCTTTCCTCTCTCCTCAACGTAAGTTTATTTTACACGATATGCCGACAACACACTTAAACTCGCGGTATCGATAACGACGTCGTGGGCCCTTGCGGAAGTTCGCTAAGTGGCATCGCGGCAATTTACACCCATCGACTCTATGTATATCGTTCGATTTAGGGAGAGAGCTCGCGTTAACTCCAGGGTTAACGACAATTTTCGCGGTCGCTTTTCTCCGAATTCGACGATTTCAGTGACGTTGTTTTTTTGTTTTTTTTTTGTTTTTTATTGAATTATTTGCAAAATTGTAAGGGAATTGTAAATGTAATGTGAAACTTACTCGTAGAAGGTGCACGAAAGCGTGAGCGAGCTGAAGCTACCCGTGAATGGACATTTCCGTTCACCGGAACCATGACACTCTACTGGTTAACTGAAATAATATAGTAAAAAATGCGTAACACGATGTGATGCGCTCGTGCGGTCATCTCCTCTCGCAGGTGGTTTTGGCTATTCTACTCGGTGTTGTCGAAAATGATTTGTGTTTTCTAGATCGGCGAGCCCGAGTACATCGACGATCGTCTCGTAATGAAATACCATTACATGTATTTTATGTATAAAAAAACGATTTTAATAATTCACAAGTGCGTACGTACATTGTAGAGATTATTAAAACTCGAGAGATATCTCAGACAGCACGAAAATTCTTAAAGAAAAATCTTAAAAATGTCTCAACGAGACGTTTGAATTGTTTCATAACTTTTTTTTATCTTTACGATGTCTCTCGGACTTTTACGTCGCCGTCCGGGATGTGTTTTTTCTCTCCGCAGCGATTCTCTCGACGTGTTTACAAACGACAATTAAATTTTACACGAGCGTTTGATTGCGTGCGGACGCAAATCGCGCAAAATGCGACGCGAACAGAAATTTTCCGACGCAAAGTGTGTGACGCAAGTCATCAGCGCGCGAAAAACGTCTCTCTTTACGATCGTCACTTCAATAAAACAAAAAAAACAAAAAAAAAAAATAAATTATCTTGTTTCTTTCTCTGCGCACATATACAAGACGCGTTACACAGCGCGGATGTTGTAACGTGAATGATAAAAAAAAAAAAAAAACTGAATGATAAAAAAAACAAAAAGAAACTAGTGATAGAAAGCAATACACGACGTATACAGGTGCGTGTGTCAAAGAAACAGAAACTGCATGTTGCAATGTATACATACGCATCGCGAAAATAAAAAAAAATAAAAACAAACGATTGATTGTTCACCCGGGCGAGAGAGCGAAATAATCGTCCACTCACCCTCGGCATCATTCAACACACTTGCTTCCCGCGTGAATGCGTGCGGGAGATCCGAAGACGGGCATATTCGTCCGGAGGACGATCAACTGTGTGTATAACGGAGTTATATGAGTCGGTGGATCACGCGGTTTATATCAGCGCGGAAAAAGTGCGGCTAACGAGAGGCTTTTCACACGCACACGACGGATATGTAATCACAAAAGAGAGTTTTTAACCCCTCGGTAGAGGAGGGGGGAAGAAAGAAGATGAGAGCGAAGACGCTCTCTCACACCGAGCGAGAACTGATTCGTGACTCGGCGAGGACTCTCAGCTGTGCCGCCGGGACCAGAGGGCCGGGACCGGGGTCGTCGTTGGGGCGTGCGCCCTCGACGAGATCAAACTTCGTCCTCGCTTCGACAAGTGCCGGCGCGCGTCGGAAAACCGCGGATACGAAGGAACCCAGGAGAGTCTCTTCACCGTTTTGTAACCGAGAGGTCGAAAGAGCATTCGGCGCGTCAATCTCGGCCGCGGTTCACGAGGAACTGCGGAATTGAGCGCTGTTCTTTTTTTTTTTTTTTTATCAACGATCTCGATAATAATTTTTTTTTTTTGTTTGTATCTCGACGAGGAGAGTCGCATCGGAGAGGCGCAGTTATCGCCCCGTCGGGCGCGCGAAATCGAAATACGCGCATGCCTCCTCGCCTCGTGTTCGTAAATAGAAACGAAATTCGAAAGCGCCGCGCGCGCGTCGAAGCGCAGCGCGACGTTAGCCAGCGATCGTCGCTCGTCTCGCGCTCTCTCGATTAATTCGAGCGAGATCTCGTTGACTCGAGTAGTAGAGACGGATCGTATGCGGTGAGTGTGAGAAAAAAAAAAAAAAAAGAAAATTCGAAGCTTTCGTCTTTTAAAAAAAGATACGCGAGACACGTCAGTTTCTGGCGTCATTACGTCATCCAGTAAGAACGTCGTACGTGTTAATTTCGTTTAAATAATCGGAAGACATGTGTGCCAGTCTACTTGCAGATAAGACGAAGGAGGAGAAGCCGTTATATATCGCGCGTTTAATTCCACCATGGCGACCACAACCAACGTTAAACTGTCGCGCTGCGGCAATCAACCGTGGGGCTTCCGGCTATCCGGAGGAGTGGATTTTATGTTTCCCTTAACCGCCGTCAGAGTAAGACAGAGATATCTCGTTAAAATAGCGTAAGAATTTTTATCAACGATCAATCAACGAGCGAGCTAACTAACTGTCTTTCACAACAAGCGGAACATTTGTTAAAGAAACAAAACTGTTTATTAAGTTGTTGCAAAAATAGCTGCGGTCTTTGTTAACCCAATTAATAACAAGATAAACAATTATTTATGTTCTCGTTAAACTCAATAAATTAATATTACGTTTTCGTAATTTAACGACGAGATACGAGTAAAAGTTTTTATTAAACAAAAACTGGAATTACTTCGCGATCTAATGAGACTAAAAAAAAATGATATCGGTCGTAATTGTCGATGTTTTAAATATTTTTTGATTGCGTTTTTATAAATATCCGTTCCTTCCAGAAATTTTGTTTCACGAAACGAATCTAGTTTCCAAACTTGAAGTATATATTTAAACACTTGGAATTGGTAATTAGTTCTTTAATGAATGTCCGCGATCACCGGTACACGTCCGATGATCATTGGGATCATTTATCTTACGTACGAGATTACTTTCTAAACGTTCCTCGACGCCGATGACTCGCTCGAACAGAACGTACGTCTCAATTAGAGACGATGAGCGCGAGACAGTCAGGGTAATTAGTTTTTCAGCAAAAAGACATTTGGAACACGCGGTTTACGCAATCAACAATGATAAAACTCTTTTTTATTTACTCTCGTAAATATTTGTTCGACAAGGTGACGATCGGAGGTCTGGCTCACGAGGCCGGTCTGCAAGCGGGCGACGTGATCGTCAAAGTGAACGAGGAACCGATGAGTCAACTCACACACGCGCAGGCCCACGACAAACTCATCAACGCCGGCAACGATGTCGTTCTGTCGGTCGTGCGAAGTCACGAGATCGCGCAACGACAACAATAACGACGACATATAAATTTTTGCAATCTCATCGATATCTTTCGCTTTGAATAATCGTCGCGAGTTTACACGTCGAACCTCACATATCGTTTCGTTTATCACGTGACGTCAAGTCTTCCGTGAGAAAAAGTCAATGTATGCCATTGCGACGACGTTGTAACAAAAATTTGAAATAAAATTGTGAAAAAAATAACTGAACGTTTCGGTCGTACGTATATCCACGCGTTGAGAATTGTAATGCATTTTACAAAGACCGACCTTTCATGCGAGAGAGAGAGAGAGAGAGAGCGCGCATCTGGCACGCATTAGTAGTGACGATCAAGGTCTGATGTTGCGAAATTGTGTCGCCAATCAAACCGCGTCACTTCGCAATGCAATTTGTTGACCATCGATCGAGCGCGGTGGGATGTGCCTTCAACGGACTTCATTTTTAATCGCAATTATAGATGTGTATGTGTGTGTATATATATATATAAACTCTTCTCTCTTGGCCAATCGCACAATTTAACGCGAGGGAGAATAAAAAACAAAAAAAAAATACGACACGCAATTCTCTTATGTGTTCACATAATTTATTACCGCTTTAATATGTATATATATAATATATTAGATATAATTGTTCGTAGAGAATGTGCACGCTCTCTATAATCGTTACCGCACAAAAAAAAATATCTGTACAATGGTCGATCTCTCACTTTGTTTTCTTTTTCCGTCGATTGAATTCGCATTCACACACGCCGCGGTCGCACGCGTACGCGTACGCACACGCACGCACACACACACACACACACACACACACACACACACGAAGAGAAGAAACAGTAATTCTCAATCACACACGTTCTCATCACTTTTTTTCAGGTGTCGCTATCAAGTATATCCACACACGTGTTTCGGAGTCGGTTATATATTAAAATACAAAAAAAATATGTATATATATATATATATATTTATATATATATAAGATCACTTCAAAGATTGCAAGAGTAAAAGGAACATGTAAAGGAAGTCACGCGCTATGATTATCATTATTATTATTGTTACTATTATAAGTAGACGATCGCGCACACGTGCGTGCGATCACTAAATGCCTAAAAAAAAAACAAAAACAAAACAAAAAAAAAAAAACACATTTTGTCTTCGTCTTCTCGAAGCCGCAAGAAATTGGTGTTAGTCACAAACAAAAAAAAAAAACAAAAAAAAACAAACAAAACCCCCGTTCTTGTTATCCAAATTGTGCCTTTTTGTGGTGTACGACGATATGAGAGCTATCCCGCGGCAACTGTCTAATGATATGCATGTTTTTCTCAGTATCAAACTTTAACCTGTATATTATACGCAATATACATAATACATATATATATGTGTGTGTCTATGTACTTTTTATATACATATATGTGTCCCTAAGTGTTACACAGCGAGGATTAATTTAAAACTAATTTAATTTAATTAATTAAAGTAAAACAGAACACGTTACAACACGATCAAAAAAAGAAAAAGAAAAAAATCTAGTTTCGAATTAAAAATATATAATAAGAACAACAATGTATATATGTAGAGAGAAGAGAAGAGATGTTGCCTTTCTAAATATAATAGCTCTTACGTTATCTACTCCTCTAGCGACGTAACAGCTTCGTGCGAAGAAGACGAAAACGGATTATAATTGGGTCGAGATCGATCCGAGAAAATCTGACAACTGATTGTCAGAAAAAAAAAAAAAAAAACTTAAAGCAAATTACGAATCAAACTGAATAAAAATCCTGAAAACAGATGTACTGTCTGTTTCCGGGTATTCGATTACGCATTCTTAGCACGCGCGTCACACAGAGACCATTCGCTGCTTTGCCGGTTCGATCGTGAAGGAACCACGATCGATCTCGATATATATATATATACATATAAAATTTACACTTTGGTATACAAATATACGTAACCTAAGGCGCTATTCCGTACGGTTGTGTCCTTCGACAAGCCGCGCGTCGAGAGAAAAAAAAAAAAAACTATTGTGTACACCGCATTTGTTATTACAGTTGTTTTGTTTTTTAAATAGAGAATCAATCCCCCGTCTTTATTCCCTCTCTGTCGTCGCAAAGTCTGTCACAGCAAATATATATATGTACAACAACAATCAGGTACAATAGTAGCGTGTGTGGAGATTGATCGCTTTGTTAAAAATTTTCTTTTTGGGAAAGACGAACAAGTAGAACGGTCGCTAAAAGCGGGAATGAGGGATATATATATATATATATATAGCAACAGGATGCGCGAGACAGATAAAAAGAGAAGAGAGAGAGAGAGAGAATAAAGATCCCATTCATTGTATTCAATAAGATCGAGTTGTTCAAAGATTTTCCTCGGCGATCTCATATCGCTTTTATATCGTTCAGAAGCGAGAAATGTGACACGATACGAACGTACCGGTTTAGCGTCGTCTCTCGCTTCTGACGTCGTAAGAACGATACATGAAGTTAAACCCCGGAAATAGCTCGATCCTCAAACTTACGCTCAAATTTACATGATAAACAATTTTGATAAAAAAAAAAAAATAAAAAATACAATACGGTATTACCGCAATATGTAGAATTGCATATTTGGTGAGCAGATCTGTAGAATCTGTAGAATTCTAAAAAAATAAAAAAAAAACAAGTTTTTAGCAAAATAAAAACAGCACGCAGATGTTCTGTAATTGAATAATCCTTGTATTAGCGCCAGGAAAAGGACACAGGCCAAGGAAAAAAAACGGGTATATTAACGCGCGTGTGACCCGTAAGCATAATAAACTACACGGCCGGTAATCGTACTCGGATCTTGTTCTTTTTTTTTTTTGTTTTTGTTTCATAAGGTCGGACTGTGCAAACCACCGGCCTATATCCCGTATTTTTCTCTTCTTTGACTCAACTGGCGAATGATCGCGCTAAAGTTTTGTGCGTTAGATTTTTGTGTAGCCAGTGATGTCATTCACCTAGTAACTATTGGTCCGCTTGTTCGCTGATCTCCTCATTGTCGGACAACGGCGTCCTGTCGTGATTCGTACAGTTTTCCGCCTGTTTGCTCTCGGCAAGCTCAAGCCAGTGTTGCTTGTTCTCTTTGACCCCATCAAGGAGCGGTACAAGTTTATCTGACAGATGAGCGAACGCCTGTTTGAAGTAAAAATGGAGCGATACGAAGGATAAAAAAAATAGACAATAGACTTGTGTTTTTATGTTATTTAAAGATAAGACCCGCACATACCTCATAAATAGGAAGGCAGATCGAATCGATGAAACCGACTTGCATCATTGGCAACTGGTCTTCCTTTTCTCGATTCATAATATCCTGCGATAACAAAAAACAAGAGCGCGTTTCTTCTTCATTGAGAACAAATGTTTTCGTATTAACAAAAATTACGCATCTGTACTTGATAAATAATCGTACTCACAATAGGCGTGATGTTGAGTTTTCGCCTCTCCATGTCGCCCTGTTGGAAAAACTCGTTGCTAACGAGCTCGGCCACTCTCTTTTCGATCTCCCACGGCTTTGTGATCGCAGCCAGATCGCAAACGGTCATCAGCATGCCACGCAGCAGTTCTCGATGATCGCTAAATGCCCAGTTGTAGTCACCGTCGCGCGCTATGCTAAGAAAGGCACCACGTTTTCTGAAGTAAACGGCCAAATCGGTCGAGAGTATAGCTTCTTCGAGAACCTTCACCACACGCGAATAGTCCTCCGGCGATAGATTCGATAGGATCTGATTGCCCTCGCTGTTCAAAATCATCAAACACTGATCGAAGTGATGATGCTCCATTGTCGAGGTCGAATACAACCTTGCCATTGGCGACGATGCTCTGTAAAAAAAAGAAAAAAACATTATTTCCTGTTGAACACAATACTTGCAATAAAACGGTAAACTCAAGATAAAAATACGATGCTTACTTGATTTGAAAGGAATTGTTAGTTCCGCGATGATCAAGATCGTGACACAGACAGGCGATAATGAGCGCGAGACATTCGATCTCGCCAAAGATCTTCCACCACTGCGTAGCCTGATAACAAGGACGTGATCATTAATTGCTGTGTTTTTTCTTTGTAAATTGCATCGCTCGGGAAAAAAAAACAAAAAACGAAACAAAAGACTCACCGTCAGAATAGCGAACATCATTTGAGCGACGTTAAAGGCGTGTCGCCAGTTGTGATACGTGACGTTCCGATAGTTTTTCTTCACGCTCAACAGCCAACGGCAAAGCACCTCGTAATCGATGTGGAAACGTTCGATGAAGTCCAAATCGAGGAACATTCTGAGACACGCGGTGAGAGTTTCGTTATCTTCCATGTGTATATCGTCGAACTTGAAATCGTGCAGTTGAAAATGCGCGGACGACGGTACTCTCAAACTCTGTCAAAGCGAGATATTGAAAAAACACACACATTCAGTGCCGGTAAAGATAAAAACAAAACCCACACACATTGTGACTTGTTGACAGATAAAAAAAAAAAAAAAACCGCAGAGAGCGTAAACGCAAAAAGAGAACAAATACCAACCCTTAATTTTTGCGCGTCTTCCAGCGACGCTGACGCGTGATAACTCAGCACGTCCATGGTCACGGTTTGTTTCGCTATTGCTATCACAGCCTTCTCGTACCTGAGCAACCGCGAGATTCGATAAATTCGTGTTTAAACATTTGAAACAGACTCGAATAATATCGTTGTTAAAAGTGTGTGTATGTACTCACATATGCGTGTTGTGAATTCCCATCCCGCAGAATATCGCGAACGCCTCGACGAAATTCTCGTCGTTCTTCGTGAAAGGCAGATCGATCAGTTTGTTGATCAACTGAATGACACCGATTATCTGATTGGACGAGTTCTTGATCGGCATGCAGAGAATCGTGTGATGCCGAAAACCGGTGCCATCGTCCACCGACGGATCGAATCGCGCGTCCTCGTACGCGTTCGGTATGTTGACAGTCTGTAAAATCATCTTTTTGTGTCATCTCGGACGTTTTTCGCGGTGAGAAAATGATCAAAAAAAAAAAAAAAAAAACTCAATTTGCGGGACACTCACTTCGCCAGTTGTCGCTACGTAACCCGTGATGCCAACGTTAATAGGAAACCTGCTTTCAAACGGACTGCGCAAAAACAAAAAAAAAAATACATTAAAATTCACACGGACAAAAATCTGTCCGAACGAACGGCTGGATGTAATTACAAACTTGAGATTCACCTAGTGCGAGAATCGGAATCCTCGCCAGCGAGATCGTTCGCTTCGAAGTCGAAGACGCGCGAGAAACTCCCCTTTGAAGCTTTGTGAACGAGCAGCACCTGAAAATCAACAACATCGATCATCGCGACACAATGTTCGTTCTTTTTTGCTCTCTCGCGCGCGTTCGCCCACACACACACACACGTTCTCCCTCACCTGAACACGTTGACATTGGATCAACGACTGCGTGTGCGTGAGAATTCGAAAAACCATGTGCTCTATCGTGCTTTGTTCCTCGAATATCATCCTCGCCAAATCCAGTAAAACCTACGAACAAGTTTCACAGACGCAAATAAACATTTTTCTCATCATTTTTTTTTGTTGACAAAAACTAAAGATCCGGGGGAATGATGTTTTACCTGATTTCTCTTCACTTCCAATTGACTTTTTTCGTAAAGCTGCGCATTTCTCAATCCGATGCCGCAGAATTGCAAATAACTTGCGAAGACCTTTTCGTCCTGAGCGGTGAACTGTCCCTGCTCGCCGAGTTTGTTGATCACCTGCGCCACTCCGATCACGTCGCCGTTGCAATCTTTGATAGGCATACACAATAAGGCACGCGTGCGATATCCTGTTCTATCGTCAATTGACTGATTGAATCTTGAATCCTGAAAAAAAAACAACAACAACCGTTCGCAAATCGTTTTCGAGATTATCCTCTCTCTCTCTCTCTCTCTCTTTCTCTCGCGAGTTTATCAGACGATTAATCGAGGCGCAGATAAGACGCTGCATCAGATAAGCATCGATCGCACTCGATCGCGCATTTGTATTTATGTCGCGGAAACGATCGCGTGTCGGATATATAAAAAAAAAAAAAAAAAAAAACACACGAACGATCATGATTCATCAAGAAAATTCCCGATGTTCAAATACTAATCGGCCAGATGTGCGCGATGCAATTACGCGCTGTCTCGATAAAAATTCTCCACGGTAATTCCAAAAAAAAAAAAAACGTGTCACCTTGTAAGCGTCCGGTATGTTGACGGGTTCGCCGCTCTCAGCGACGTATCCGACGATCCCGGTACCCCACGGAATCTTGATCTCCTCGTTCTTCTCTATCTCGGTCAGCGTCGATCTCGGACGAACGTCGAACAGCTTCGACACCAAGTACCTGCTCGTCGGATAGGACTGATTGGTGCGTTCCGGACTTTCGTTGTCGGAATTCGTTGTCGCGGTGGCCGCGGCGGCGGTGGCAACGGTCTCATCCTGGGGAGATCGCGAGCTCGCCTTGCTGCTTCTCTCACCGTGAACGAGAAACAACGAGCCGCGATCCGCGTGAAGAAGCGTGCTCACGTTCTGCAAGATCTTGTGGCACAACGATCTCACGTCCAACTCGTTGCAGATGTCTTTCACCTGTGAAATCGAACCTTTTGAAGAAGAGACGAGACTAAAAAAAGACGCGTGACAATTTCTTTCAAACGATGTGAAAAACTTACCAATTCGAAAATGAGATCCTTTTCGTCCAAGTGCCTCAGCTCGTGTCTGGAACGTCTTTGAGGTCGGTTCGTGTTGTTGGTTCCGGCCGGCGAGTTGACCGATTGGCCGGTTTCGCCCGGCGACAGGAAGGTCGGCGTTCCGTCTATCGTGTTGACAATCGGTTTCAGAAGACCTCCCCGTTCGAACTCGTGCGCGGAAATTTTGCGCACGGGTGTCGTCGCTCCCGAACCGCCGGTTCCACCGCGACCGGCGGACGAATTGCCGGGCGCGACGTGGGTCGGGCTCGAAAGTTCCACGGAGCAGCTGGACGATGACGTTGGCGTCGTGTGTGTCATCAACCACATGTCAACAATTCCTCGTGTTGCTTTTCTTTAAGCGTTTGAAAACAAAAAAAAGAAACAAATGGCAATTAAGCACAAACGACGCTCCAATTGTGAGAAAATGCATCGAACGATATTTTTCACGTATAGAGAAACCAAAAACGCGCCCGAAGTACTTGGCGCAAACATCTATTTTTCATTCGCAGAAAGAGAAAGAGAGAGTAATAATACCTTATGAAGTAATCGTTGGCAAAGTCGGGGTGTTCGTCGAGCCAAGCCTCCATACGAGCATATTCCGGATCGTATCTCGAAGTCGGCGACGAGGGATAATAATTACCGGCAGCGTTGCTGCCGCTATTTCCATCTTGCACCTGTTGCACCGCGCTCTGACTCGCCGCCGCGCCGCTTTGTACTCCTTGCACGCAAGGAGCCGCCGTCTCCGCCGTCATCCTCGGCTCCTCGATGCTCCGCAAATGCAGGCCTGTGTGTATGTATTACATTTCGGCTTCATTAGTCGAAACAATTAACAATCACAGAGTTAATTAGTCGCTAATTATAGTTATTGATCGCGACGTCACGTGTGTCATTTCTACAAATTAAACGAGAAATGAGAATTAAATTGGAGAGAGATAGAGAGAGAGAGAGAGAAAGAGAGAGAGAGAGAGAGAGACTTAATTTCCTATTACATAATTGTAACCATTTTGAAACACGATTTTCTCTACGCACTACAACATGGAAGAGGAAAAAAGATGGACTTCGAAACATAAAATCGATCTCCTCTTCAAAAAAAAAAAAAAACAAAAAAAAACGAACAAATCATGAAACACATCGGTAAGTCCGTTTCGAAGACATTCGTGATTTATTTATTCGCTTTGTCTGTTCCTTGACGTAGCGATTCCGTGCGTGCACGCACGACTGGTACGTCACGGCGCACACACCGCGTATATGTACGGCTCTGCGAGCGGATATTGCACATCAAAGGAAAACCACATAACGTCACCGCTACCTCGTACTTCCCCTCTACGCGGCCGAACGCGCGGCAAGAGAGCGCGTGTTTCTCAAGAGATTCATATATTTTATTCGCACCGCAACAAGCATGCGCACCTATCGCACAGCCAACACTTTTGCGCGCCACATTGTTGTCATATACATATGACATATATGTATATGTATACACGTTGCAACTGTAAAAGTCAAATTTCTTCACAATACTGGAACTTTCCAGCTTGCTTGCGCGCGCGCGCACACACATGTGTATTGATAATGTGATACACAATTCTCCTCTTATCGTTACTGTCCCAAATGTATTATCGTTGTTTTCGATGGTGCATAAAAAAATTATTGGCTCCAAAGAGGCAAATATGTTGTCTATCTATTTTTCGAGATGGAACTTTTTCAGTTCGATTTGTCAAATCAGAGACTAATTTTCTGCGCGGAAAAGTTGAGAGAAAGAGAGACAGAGAGAGAGAGAGAGAGGTAGAGGAAGAGCGACCAAATGTAAACGACACCCGTGGAAAAACACGACAGGGATTGCTGGGTAAATTTCCTACGAGACCGGGCACGTGTTCTCTTCACGGATGAGTTGCCGCACGTCGTCGTCGCATTGGTCCTGGCTCATTCGATCCGTCGATTACAAACTGCAGACTGATGTTCGTACATATACGGATGTCGCCGTGATATAATCGGCTACAATAATATACGGTGGAATATTAGCTCTTTCAATTGCACATCTGTAATGAACACCGACGACGTTCGGCAACCGACAAAATGCGAGTAAAAACATTTTGCATCCGCACAAAACAACGAGTGATATTTTTTTTTTTTTTTTAATTTTTTTAAATAGAAATTTTCCACTTCAATTCTCAAAAACAATTGTAGTCTTGAAGAAAACGTAAAAAATTATATAAAACACGCAATTATATAAAAATTTATATTGATTATTAATTATATAAACTAGTTGTAATTATATATAAAAATTTATTCAAAAGGAATGATATTGAAAAATGATTTTTACATATAAAAGTGAGAAACTGATAATTAATTAAAATCGTTGTAAAAAATATTTAAAATACCGAGAACTGTCGTGATAAATATTCGCATATCTAATAATTGTTTTTTCAATAAATGTCCAGGTCATTTACATGTGTACGTGGTTTGGAAAACAAACATGGAGGAAAGCAGCCTGTGTGTGTGTGTGTGTGTGTGTGTGTGTGTGTGTGTGTGTGTGTGTGTGTGTGTGTGACAAACAAATAAAAGATATTATCACTAGATTTTGTCCGGTTTCCGCATTTCCATACACGTTCCGCGCGTCACAAGACTTTTTTTTTTTTTTTTTTATTACACGACCGACTTTTTTCCAGTTCGACTTTATACAGTCGGATATATATGTTGAGAGGTGTTATAAATGAATAAACTTAAGGTTTATAACTAGTTCGCGCAAACGTCATTGCTTTCTTCGCCAGTCGTCGATGACGCGACCGCGACGCGATAATTGTTATTGTAAGAAAAAAAAAAAAAAGAGAAAAAAAGAGCAAGCCAAACAACCGACATAAAACGCTTCCGCTACAGTTGGCTGACATGTAACCACATAAAAGTCTCGTAAAAAAATTCGACTAAATTATCTGCAAGGCAAATTCTTTCATGATAATGACACTTTTATACATCTATACATATGCATGTGTGTGTTGTGTGTATACGTATTACATACACATAGCTACCATCTAATCTAAAATGCTAAACTAAACGACCTGTTAGTTTGATAAAAGTCCAACAGTGTGTTTCAAAATACTCGTTTTTTTTTTCTTCAGAATTATGTAAAGTTTTTTCTTGTAAAAACTTACTTATTTACATGAACATAAATGGTAAAATTAATGATGTTGTAGCGTGCGTCGGTGTGTTTGCATTCGCGCGATAGTTAGCGGAGCGGGTTGCGCTAACGTCGGAACTCTGAGAAACCAACCGACCGACCGACCAACCGACCGACCGACCGACCTTCACGCGCCTCGCCTCGGACTGATGGCGCCAAGCTGACCTATCTGCTCACCACTAATGTGGCCTGTCTCGCTTTGCCTGACCAAGTCTCGCGACTGATCCCTCGTCAAATCAACAGCTCTAATCATTTTTTCCATCACGAGTATCGTTTCTTCGTTTACGAGTGTTTTCAGAATCGTGTTACAAACGTCGCGTTTGTTGGTTCGTTAATTAATGTTCGATTCTCGCAAACCTCCTCTTCGTGGAACCGCGTCTTCGGTTGAGAAAACGCGAATGCAAAATTATTTTGTTCTCTTCGTACATTGTTATTGAAAAAGAAAAAAAAAGACAAACGAACAAACAAAAGAAACGTCAATGGATGTCTCACTTTTTTTTTCAAGTTTTTTCTAGAATCCATTTTCTAGGAAGCAAACCAGCATTCGAGAGATTGTGCAAAAGCGATTGCTTCTCACAGTATCTCCGGGTGATGAAATAGAAATTTAAAGGAATTGTTTTTGACATACTGTATATATTACATATATCGCGAAGTTAATGACGCGAAGAGCGGACGAACCAGTTTTCCAGGAACCGGAAGAAACTCGGAGGACCACGTGTTCAGTCCGGTATGACCACGATCGAGGAGGCAAGGTCGAAGGACTCGAGAGGTGGAAGGACGACGAGGCGAAAAAAGGATTTATCGTCCTTTAGCCGGGCGTCGATCCCTCCCCGTCTCTGTTAGAGAGTTCTCCTCCCTCTTCTCTCCTCTTCCCGCGTTCTCGTTCGAATGTACACCAAGAGGCCACTGAAACCTGCTCTCGGACCGGTCGCCGGTTCTTCGTTTTCTGACAGCATCAGACCCCCTTCTCCCCCCTCCTCTCTCTTTCTCTTTCTCACTCTTTTGGTTGCCAAGTCTGTGTGTGTGTGCTTGATCAGTGTTACCGTCAAGTTCAATGTCAAAGATAATTTTTTAACAAAAGAAAAAAAAAACAAAAATAAGAGTCCCTCCTCCTCCCATCCGCGACGCCACTTTATAACATTTTTTTTTATTTCACACGAATCTTCTCGGTCGCTGTTCTCCCCCATCAGAGCAGCCGCACTAAAAACCAGTAGCTGTGGTCGTCGCCATCAGCTACGCAGGCGTGAAACTATACACATTTCGTATTCTGAAAATAATGAACTACGCGTGTGTGTGAGAGAGAGAGAGAGAGAGAGAGAGAGAGAGAGAGAGAGAGAGAAAGAAAAAGAGTTCTTCAATCCATATAAATTGAGAGTCACTTGGGAACGGGGCGAGAGGAAGAGAAATGTCCGAAACAATAAACAAATACAACATTCCAAACATCAATCTTGTCAGTCGAGCGAATACACAGCTGAATTTTTATTCTCACACTACATCAGCGATTAGTATTCTAAACACGCGCGCCGGCCACTTTGGATCGTGCTTTGGGAGAATGACTTGACGTGAGATCTCATTGCGGCTGAGGTATCATAATCTTCCAATGTATTCTCATCGCGCGGATATTTATTCATTCCGTAAAATTCCAACGACGGAGAAAATAAACGAAATGCGAGATCTCGCGTTTTCCTTGCGCGGTCTCGAGAAGCTCCGAATCGATAGAAATACGCGTCGTGTTTTGTTCTTGTTTTTTTTTTTTTTTTTTTGTTCCACGAAACAAACTTTTATTCGAAGAAGAGAAAACTCTCGTCATCGTCGGAGCTCCACTTTCGGAGCCGTGCAACGAGGTAAACGCGGGGACGAGAAAACACGCGGCGGCACGCAGCTATATTAAACTCCGACCAACACACACACACGTGCGTGTGCGCGCGCGCGCGCGCGTGTTGCGTGTGTCATTGACGCAAGTAACTCGCGCACCAAACGATACGCGATACATAGACGCTTGTTGCAGCTTGGTCTAGCTAGCTTCACTCTAGCGCGCGCTTTCTTCGTTTCTCTTCGTCGTAAAACGCGTATATCGTCTTTTGGAAAAAATTACGTTTTTTTTTTTTTTTACGCGAAGAAAATCATCTCATTCGGTTGTTTCGCGAGAGAAAACAAATCCAAGACACTCAAACGGTGTTTCGCGATGCGATTCGAGTCGCAAAAACTTATCTCCGAGGATGATTAAGAGAGACTGAACTTTGAGGAAATTATGCGAAAGTCGCGCGCGAACGCTCTTGCGTGTCGCGCGCGCGCGCGCAAGAAAGAACCTGGCGCTTCCACCAATCTGGCAAGTTACGCAACGAAATAGCGGCAGTTACCTTGGCCAATGCAAATATATGTCATCGTTATTCGTCTCGTACGAGACTGCGATTACTGTATAGGTGTACGTACGGCGAATTGCGTTTGCGATTGAAAAAAAAAAAAAAAAAAAAAACACAAGAAATAAAACACACAAAACGTGCTCATCCTTCGCGAACGATTAGCTGAACGTTTAATTGTGTCGACGCGGCAAAAACACGGAGAGAGAGAGGGAGATATATATATTGTATATATATATATATATATATATATATATAAATATAAATATCGCAGCGAGATTCATCGGTTTCTTCTTTTTTTCTTTTAGACGTATTATATAAATTTATTGTAACACGTGCCGCGCACGCACGCGTTCGTTTTCTTTCATTTGCATTTTCTGCGACGCGTGCGGCGATTAAAAAAATTTTAAACGCGAGTTCTTCAATTGATTGTTGTTTGGATAACGTCGCGCGCGCGCACAGAAAAAAATACAGTAAATAAATATAATTCATCGATAAAAGAGCGCGATATTGTATCAAAACATTGCGAAGGTATGTGATCTCCCGCGCGCGCGTGAGCGATGGAAATTCCGTTTTAAAATTCAAGAGCTTGCAAAAGATAAAAGTTCACACGTCTTATCGTCAATTGTAAATCTTATCGCGAAAACGCGATTTGCCATTGTGTGCGGTCGAAAATCGGAAAGACGAGTGTCACGCGCTTCTTTGTGCGCGCGCTCTTTCTCTCTCCCTCTCTCTCTTTCGCATATTAAAACCAAGCGAGCTAACGCGGCGAAACTCTTTCTCCTCTTTTCGTCAGCTTTTATTTTAAGCGCGCGGATCTTTTTTCTTCCGGTGGAGCAGCCACCGAGAGACCTGACGTCGATTTTACGTCAAAAAGGTAAACAGATCGGATCTTTAAGAAAAATAAAAAAAAAAAAAAAAAGCCGTTACTATCTCGGAAATCGGGTTTGAACCGCGTTAGTGTCATTTTTACACCGACGTCTCGTGAACATTTCAGTTTGTTTCACTTCGTCGGGGGTTTCAGAAGCAACCTGATACTGGTTCGGGTAAACAGGACGACCGAATTCGAGAGTAACCGACCATCAGGTTGCTCTTGAAACTCTGATGGAGTGAATCGAAACGTCGGTGTGACACTAACGCGGTTCAAATCCAAAAAAAATAAAAAAAATCTTCGGATGTTAACGCACCGCGGAAATATCAAGTATCAGACGAAAAAGCCATATTGGACGTATCGCTGATACCCTCACAGATCTGTTAGTACGACACCACGCACATGTACATGCACAGACAGTAACTCGAAGGAGCAACAACATCTACCAGAGTAACCTTTCCAGATGATAAAAATAATAGACACAGTATATACGTAATCACAGTATATACGTTATCGTATTATGCGTAATCTCGTATAAAGCTTGTTTTTTTTTTGTGTTTTTATAACGTCTTAACTCGACCTGCGCCCTACGCCATTACGCTATTACGATACCGAGGGCCTTTAATGGGAGACCCAAGCTGCTGCGCATGACGGAATCACGTTGCCGCGCGTAACGCGCGCACACGGGGCCCCGTTGTGTTGCGCATTCAGATGGAGAGAAAAAAAACACATCACCCGTGTGATCCGGCCCTACTGCTGACGTTTGCGGCTGGTGTTGACTTTCAGACATTTCGCACATGTGGAAAGAAACTAACGACGACGACGACGACGACGACCGTTGATTGATGTTGTTCGATAAAGCAAAACGCACACGCAACACAAAAAGAAATTATTGTTGTTGTTGTTGTTACGAGTCGCGTGTGTGAAAAATCGCGCACGACGAAACTCGGATCGACTTACATTGATCGAATATCTTAAGCATTGCTTTCTTCAGCTGCATAATCGTGCGAGCGAGCGCGGCGAATTGCCTCGATGAAAAGTAACAACGACACAAAACTGGACCACCACCTCCCGTGTTGTCTCGAACGATCCGCAACTCGGCCGATGTTGTCCATCGTCGATAAGGCGAAACCTTCAAAGAGCCACTGACCGTCGACCGACAACAGGACGCTGCATCTCGCCGCACGACGACACGGTCGCGGTCGCCCAGCGGCGAGTCGACATCCTCCTCTCTTTCTTCGTCTCTCCTTTTGCTTCCTCTAGGTCAGCACGCGCGATGCAGTACGTAGATCGTTGTGTTGTTGTTGTTGTCGTCGTCGTCGTTGTCGTGCGTGCGTGCGTGCGTGCGTGCGTGCGTGCGTGCGTGCGAGCACACAATGCACTTCGTCGACTGGTACCGTGCGCGCGAGCAACTACCACCACTAATACCACCAACGCAGTAAGGAAGTCATCACTCGCGTTCGTCACTTCCGGCGAGCTTGGAATCCGCAACGATGAATGAACTCGTTCGCGTAATCGCTCCCACGTACGACCTCTCGGGGGCAAATTTTATCCGATAACACCCACGTGGTCGTCGATTGGGTTGTGCCGAGTGTTCGAACTCTTAGAGAGAAAGCGCGCGGAATCGATCTCCGCTCAAAGAAACGATCGCTCCCGCCAGATCGCAACTATGTTGTTGTGCGTACGTATGTGTGTGTACCAGTTTCGCTCTCAGGAAACTGATCGCAAATGTCTCTCGGTAAAACACACACACGGTCTTATCACGCGCTTTTGATACGCGCGATTTATTCGCGAGAGAGAGACTCTCGCGACGCCGAGACGCGCGCACACACACTTACCGGAAAGGAAACGCGCGCGCGCGTGTGTGTGCGCGTTACGAGCGGTCACGCGGAAAACTACAAGTTTTCTTCTTTTTCCCGGTGGTGACGGTTTTCCGAGAATAGCGGCAGAGCGAGAAGACCTGGGCGTCGCTCGCTGAATATAAATCCTCCGAGTTCTCCTCCCGGACGAATGTTTTTATACATTCGGGTTGAAGTTAAAAAACCAAAGAACAAAAAGTCACATCAAAATTCCTCCGTCCGTTTTTTTATTTATAGACGCGATCGCGCTTTTCCAACGGGAAAGACGGCCGAGAGACGCGTCTTTGAAACGAACTTTGAGAGAACGAATCGCAACAACGTAGCGCAAACTCTTGCGCCGCTCTTGGTTACGACGAGACATTCGCGGCGGGACGCGAAGCGAGGTCGCGCGGCGTAACGTTCCGCGTGCAAGTTTAGTCGCAACTGTTTTAAGAGCTCGGTCGCGAACTGCTGCGTCGCGTCGCGGCGCGATGCTCTGAATCAGAAGTGGAGGGGAAGCGAGAGAGAGAGAGAGAGAGAGACAGAGCAAAGAGAAAGAGAGAAAATTCCTAAATTCTGATTGAAATACACATTGTGTTATACACAAGGGCGTCATCAATCCAATTATCTGTTCTAATCGAAATTAGAGAATCGATTTCCGACTTGTTGTCGGAGAAAACACGGCACTGATGAGAGAGAGAGAGAGAGAGAGAGGGAGAAAGAGGGTGGAGGGAACGAGAGAGGAGAGAGTCACATTTCAACAACACACGATATTTGCATAAGCCGTACATGCAGAAAAGAGTTTTGTCGATTGCATGCGAGCCCAGATAAATACTGTTTATCTCATTCCATTGCTCTAACGCGAGAAGAGTGTGTGCATATAATATACTTGCATCGTCACATTTACGCGATAAACCTCGCGCGTGTACAAACGCGTGTTCCTGTGCACGCGTCACAAGACAGAAGGAGAAAACTAGAAAGAGAAAAAGAGAGAGAGAGAGAGAGAGAGATAAAAAAGAAAAAGAAACGAAAAAGAGAGAGAGTTATATAAAGCTTCCGAGCAGCCAGATCTCGTTGTATCGAGTCGTCATCTTGTTCGTTCGTTCTGCTCCAAAGACACCGGAGTAAGATAAAATCTGAAGAATTTATCTAAGATCATTTTTTTTTTTTTTTTGTCACAGATTTTAGCGATGACGCAAGCAGCGTCACCGACTTTTGTCACTTTTTTTGCGTCACTTGGATGTCACAATTTGAAGATAAGAAGCGACATGTCTGAAAAGTAACTTATTGTTTCGAAAAATCATACAACGGGAAGAGAAAAAAAAATACATCCAAGACGCGCGCGCGTGCGCGATGCGATGTACGCGCTGACAACACGATAACGATCAAAAATTTTCGACCTCGGTGTGTAAAGACTCTTTCCGCAATTTTGTTTTATTTAAAACCCTAACTGTGAATCCCGAGTGCTGCCGATCTCGATATATACCGTACGATAACACACGTATGTGCGCCGCCGCTTCATCAGTTGCATAATCCCAATGAGACACGATGCGCCGTTGATCGTGCAACTGTACAAGCCAGTTCGCGCACGCGCGCTCACGCGCAACCTTATCGCAATCGCACGCGCAATCGAGGCGAGATCGAAATTAAAAGCTAAATTAGTGAGCGAATTTTCTCACTTCTACGCGGGACCCGTAAACAAAAAAAAAATGGAGTTGGATTAAAAAAACAAAATTCCGTCTTGAAAAATAAGAGAAACGAATGAAAATAAAATTTAATAAATAAATCCAGACTTATGTAACGTGATTGTTCGCGGTTCTGGAAAGTTATAACAGAATTGCCTGTTGTGTACACAGTATTAGTTGCACGCGGCTCTACAAACAAGCGGATTTCTCTTCTCAAAGATGACATCTCTCGCGACAACGACGACTGTCGTCGTTGTCGCGAGAGAGCAACAGCTGCGCGCAACTCCATAATGGTTGAATTAAAAAACTGAAGAAATTCTCTTCGCGTACGCGCGTTATTTTCGCTTTTTATTTATTTATTTGTTTTCGAAAGATAATTCGCAAGTAGAATCGACGCAAGACGAGTTTTTTCCCGACGTATTTTTTCACATCGTTTCCGATCTTGTGTTCGAAGTCGCAAGACGTCGACGGACACTCGCGCGAGAGCGGAAAGACCGCAGCCTTCGTAAATTAGCTTCATAATTAGCGTATCCGTTCACATGTGCCGTTTCTGCCTTACACCGGGACGAGATTAATTGTAAAAAACTGTGGATTGTGGAATCGCGTTACTCCTCCTCGCGTCTCGAGGTTGCAACATTTGATTAAAAAAAAAAAAAAAAAAAAAAAAAAAAAAAAAAAAAAAAAAAAAAAAAAAAAAAAAAAAAAACGAGACGGAGTAAAAAAAAAAAAAAGCATCATCAGATCGATGTTGCGAATTAGCGCAAAACAAATTTGATTAAGACGAGACCGAACGGAGATTTGTCGCGAGTGTAAGTGAGAAAGCTCGTACGTACGCTTGTGGCTATTCGAGAGAAAGAGAGAGAGAGAGAAAGCCACGGGGAAGATTCAGGACTAGGCGTGCTGGGTCAATGAGTCTGGGTCAAACGAGCATGCGACTCGTATCGAATTAGCTTGTCGCACTGAAATTGACCTCCAGGTTAATTCCATGCTCGGTGTTTTATGCGCACACGTAATATGGTACGCCATGTGACAGTTGACACGATCTTTCATCCTGTTTCAATCAGTCAAAGACACGCGACAATGTGTGAGAAAAAAAAAATTGAAAAAACAATTAAAAAACTCTGTTATATCTCTGTCAAGTCACGTGAAATATCACACAACAAGACCGTTGCAAAATGGCATATAGAATGTTTGCGCGTAATACACATGTAATCTGTTTGATTCGAGCTCAAACAATTTTATTTCATCCCGATTGGATGAAGGCGTTCGCGACGCGCCTTTGATTTTTTTTTTGTTTTTTTTCAAACGAGCGTTTCCACAGAGACAACGAGATATGTGTCATCGCGTTTCCTGTCTTGTCTTTTCTCGGCGATACGGCGATTACAATATATACACATCCGTTCGTCATTTTCTCGTTTGTCGAACAACGAAAAAAACAAATGGCGACACGCTCGAAATTGCTTAAGAAAAAAAAATCTTTTAGCGCTAGAATAAAAATAGTCGTACATCTACGATAGAAAGAAGTCGAGATATGTATCGTGTTAATATTTTCAAAAAAAAAAAACCGCGAACAAACAAAAATTCAGCCGCAACTCGCGTCGTTCCAGTTTTTTTATTTTTTTATTTTTCATCACTCTTAAGAAATTGCTGGACAAACTGTGCGACCACTTGTGGAGAACGCGAACAAACTCTTGGTTAGAAATCGCCAAGAGCGAGGTGCATCAAAGAGAGGTAGCACGGAGGCAACTTACCTTTCCTGCGGGAGCTCCAAAGCACAGGAGGATGCGCTGATGCGGCGGCGGCAGCGGCGGGATTACCGCCGTTGGCAGCCAGCTTGACTGCGTTCCGCGAACCTGCAAAATCAGCCGAAAACAAACAGTTGTCAAAATTTTTATTTTTTTTCTTTACATGTGCGCTTTTTTTACAAAATAAAAATAAAACATACTTTCGAAACAAATCGGAAGATTTACGCGCGATTAAAATTTAGTAAGTTGAAAAAAAAAAAACATGTATGAAAAAACTGCAAATATTTTGTATACACAAGTTTGTAAATATTTTATTTACGTAAGATCGTTTGAATCGAGATGCTACTTTTTAAACGAACATACTTCGTTGCGTAATTAAAATCGCGGTGGTCAGAAACCTTGATTGGGGGGGAAGGGGAAAAAAATAAAAAACTAAACTAGTATCGACGGTATCAAAGTTCTACTCGAGCGGCGCTATCTTCTCCCGACAACGGACTTTCTGCCGTTTTATCACAGCACTTATTGTTCGTTCGTTATCTGCACCGCTTTTCAAATTCGATCTGTAGTTCTACTCCACTGATAAACGATCGATACACACAAAACAACACACATTTTATGTATTACAAAAAAAAATCTGGAAAACACTTGGACAAGCAATGTCACGCGTGTGCGCGTGTGTGTGTGTGGTGATGTGTCGCGTGAAATCTTAATCGAATATTACGTAATCTGAAAAAAAACATGTTCGAATTTTTGTCAAGACGTTCCTACAATTATTTCGCTCAAATAATTGGATTCGGATTGACGGAAAACACGCGACAGACTCTCGCCAATTGAAAACAATACACGCTTATTTTTTTTTTAAATTTGTATCGAGGAGGAAACACCTCGCGAGCCAAAGCGAACGAAACACGTTGCGCGCCAAAAAAAAAAAACTTCGTCCGCTCTACTGCCAATTTATTATTTAATTTGTATTCGCTGAGTGTAGTTTCTCTTACGGCGCAGTTTTGTATAATTAATGAAGTAGTTGGGACGAGAGAGGCGTCACTAAGCGTCTTGTAACGCGAGGAGACCCAATATATACGTACACACAATGTGTACGTCTCTCAAAAGCGTTGATCCACGGCGTGTTAGAATCAAGAAACGAACACCCGGGGCTGTCACGAGGGCTCCATTATCGATGGCTCATTAAAACGAGTACAACGTCGTTGAAGCAACACGACGCTACTTAGCTTGGGTATTCGGTTTCGCTGTCTCGCGAATAATAAAGCGACGCGATCTGTCAGCGGTAACGAAACGTTAAATTATATTGCATTTTTCACAAGCGCACGCGCGCGCTGTCGGATCGGTTTCTTCAGCTTTTGTGAATGAGAGAAAAAAAAAAAAAAATAACACCGTCGTACAAACTTACAAAAGCCGTCGGATTGCTCCTCAATTTCCGGACTGGACGAGGTAGCGCAGTTGCAAACGCACGAGCAAAATAGTCTTCTGTTACGGTCGCGATTCAAGTAACGACGATGTTGGTGTCCGCCGACAGCCATTGCGGATGGAGAGCGCCGAGAGAACGCGCGGCACAAGTGTGCGAAAACTAGAAGGGGATGTCTAGAATTCGTCGAAACGTGGAATGAGGGAAAATCGGGTCGGTACACGATCGCCCGGAGCTTATTGAGTTCGAGCAAATTAACCTTGAGTGGTTAATAGCGGGAGAGAACGATATGCGTGCTACGACGCGATTCCTCATGTAACGACGTCCGCCGCCACCGCCGCCGTATTCTCGCTATAAACTTTCTATGTGTATCCTTTTGGTTCGATATCGACCTCGTGTCTCCTCTATATGACGCGTTCGTCGACGATCGTTAACTAATACGACGATCGCCAACCGATACGTGCATTAAACTTCCGGTCTGCGCCTTCGTCCTCAATCGACCTAATGGCCACCGTCGTCGCGCACTTGTGTCCTCCCTCTCGGTTCCTCCCGCAC